CTTGGGAGCTCAAAAATAGTCTTTATGTTTCTTTATATTTTCCTCTGAACTACTTTTTATGTGATGTAATATGAAAATGTTGTGCTGCTAATGTAGTTCTAGGAAAGAACAGGAACATTTTTGTCTCACATGTAGATATTTTTCAGTGCTAAATATTCACAGGAGGGCCATGCAAACAAAAATCTTACAGCAACAATGCGCTTTGGCTTCTACTGTTTTCCTGTTCAACTGATGTGATAACTGAGGCAGAAACATATTGAACTTTTTGTCCAAGGTCACACAGTGAGGTCAGGAATGGAGCTAAAGCAGACTCCAGCTCTTCCAGTTCACCGTTTTGTTTTAAACCAACTAATCTCCCTGTTAGGTCTTTGGCATTAATGAAAAAGCCCAAGAGACTGTTAATACATTGTTACCTTAAAACTGCAAACCCCCAGTGGAAAAAGAATGCAGGTTAGGATATAAAGCAAGTATATGAAAATCGCTTTTCAGCCTACTGGATGCGGAAATATTGCAGCATGTCCCATCGCTTTCATAATATCTCACAGCAGAAGGTACTTGAGTCACACTTAGTGTATGGCCACTATAAGTTATGCAATCAGCCAGGAACAGGAATCTGATGCAGACTCCTGAAATCACATGTTCTAATCAACCTTTTCTTTGGGTATGAAGAAAGTTCAATAGAAAGGTAAAAATAAAAAATAAAAATAAAAGCAATATATCTAATTTCTACAACGTTTTACAAGTGTCTTACAAATACTAAGTAACCACCTCAATAAACCCATGACAAAATGCTACCAGCAGCTATTTCAACATAGAAGCTGCATGAAGAAGATCGGAAAACTAAGCTGCAGCTTTAGACCTCAGCAATAACAAAAGGCCTCCAAGTGCTCCAGCAGACAAAAATACACAAACACCAATCAAATGAAACATCGCTGCCAGCAAGCTCAAGCAGTGGCAGGATTCCATGGCCACCATCCCCCTGTTCTGAGGTCTCCCACTACAACCTTTGCTTCCTGATCCATGTGAAACCATGTCAAATCAATACAGAATAGGTTGTTGGTTTTTTTTTCTTACTGTTCTTAAACCAAACAGCTTTCTTGATAAAGCACACTGTGCTGCTTTTCCCCCTACCTCTCCCCAATCACTTTAATTTCTTTACAATGAAGAAGAAACATAGCTTGTCTTCTGTTGAACTTTGGTTCCAGCTGGCAACTGGACTGTATCAAAACTGTATCAAAAGTTCAAAAGATTAGTGTTCTGTAGTAATCTGATTTAATTAACTTTTTAACTCCTCTGCCTAACTTTCTAGAGCAGCTACCTCTTTGCCAGTGGTGTAATTTTTTTTCTCTCTCAATGCCAGAACTGCACCAGTAGAAACAAAAAATGTAATTTAACAACCTGCATAACAAGATTCTATAGTCTATTTTGAACAAGGGCTTAAATGATTCAGACAAGCCATGGAAAATCAGTGGAACTCAAAGCCACTTCAGAAATCCCATTCCTATCTGAAATTTAAATATCTAAATAAAAGTGCTCAGCTGCTCATAAAATCTGTGTTTCAAACCTTCTAGCTTTAGGATAATAGCAAAGGCTGTGGGTGCTTCCACTCCTTGAAAAGCTGCAGTCTGGTATGGAATTCAGCACTTATCAATGTCATAAAGAAATATTATTTTCAAAATGGGCATCAGAATGGCTGCTGGCCTTTTATAGGGGTGCTGCAATAATAAGTGAAGAGTAAATACCTGTTTATTACAGCAGATGTGGAGAAAGCCTTCCATTTCTAAGTCCTACACATTAGCCACAGAGGCATTCCAGGACAGAGAGAATGAGGTACAGAGCGATGCCAAGAGCGAGTCACACAAGTGGTCTGGGACCTGGCTGTGAGGAACAGCTAAGCTAGAGGCTGCAACCGGAAAACAAGAAAAACAAGCATCACTGCTGATCTGAAAGATTACAGAAAGGCCTCAGCTGAGACCACCAATGACACACAAAAATCCAGATGCACTCTGGGAGCTTAAGCCAAGCACAGTTAAAGATTCTGACAGTTCATCAAGACTGCAGTGAGCCAGCTGGCCACTCACTAGGAAAGTGCCAGCGTACAAGAATGCATGCAGCAGCAAGACCTGCAGAAAAGCATTTCTCCTAGTGTATATATCATACACCAGGAACAAATGTTTCATCAGCCTGCAAACCTGTGACACCGAGCCCTTCAACCAGGTCACAGTAATTGTGAGGGTGAGCATGCTCATCACAGCTCCTTACAGACAAGTATCTTTATCCTACTGCCTGCTTTCCAGATTTGACTGGCCATTCGTATGCTACTACAAAAAGGCTCAAAACAGGT